CAGTTAGTCCCGTTCCGTTGGCTCCACATGGGTTCTGGTTACCTAAGGAAGCCTTCTAGCTTATTAGAACTTCGGACACTCTTTCACCTGAACCCTTCCTTATCATGAGGTTAAAATCAAGGAATAGAGCAGGCACATGTATGCTTTTGGTCCTCTGTCATGAGAGGAAGCTTATTGCACATGCTTGGATAATTTTGTGTTCAAGAGACCTTCAGTTTATGCAGTCCTGATATCCCAAGAAGAGAGGTGGAGGGAGCTTAGTGTAGAACCGGAGTTTGTTGAGGAGTTGTGGCCCTTCCTGGGGAATTTGGGTAGATTAGAACTGAACAAGTGTCTGGGGCTGGGGATGACGAAGTTTTAGGTAAAACTCTGTCCCTACGTTGACCCTAGAGCAGGAATGGTGTGTAGTGGAAATAAACCTGGATCATTTCTCATTTTCTATAGACCTCAAATATCCTCACCTATTGGAGAAAGTGTGGACATCAGACCTGTCCTCAGTGACGGACTGCATGGAGCATGCGCTGACTGCCTGTCACCTTCGCACCCGGTACTCAGCAGGCTGGGATGTCAAGCTCTTTTACCTCCCCTTGAGCTACGTGCCCACGTTCCCGGTGGATGCCCTGGTGCCCTTGTGCTCCCCAAAGCCAGCACAAGCCCTTTAATGCCAACTCTTGGGTGTGTGGTCGGGGCAGATGGGCAGTGTGTGGGTTGAGACACGTGAGGGAGTGGGTGGAGGAAAGCAGTTCTCCCATACCAGGGCACCTATCCCACCCCCTCGGTGCAGGGAACTTTTCTCAGGGATTACTCAAGACCAGTGAAGTGAGAGGGAAAGAGCCAAGGACCTCTGGTGAGGAACAGGGACTCAGCATCACTCACGGATGCCCAGTTGACAGGCAGCTGCTGACGGCTCTGAGCAACACGGCCAACCAGGAGGAATGTACACACCTGGTGTGTCTGGGAGCGTGTGCAGGATGCGCTCCCATGCCTCACTCCCCTCGCAGTCCTTCTGAGGGTACGCATCGTTCTCGGCTGCTGTCTATCTTCCCACAACATAGAGATAGCCTGGGAAATATAGGGGCCCTTTGCAATCACTGTACATGGTGTCACGTGGGAGGCAGCACCAGTCTATCCCCGTGGGCCTTAGGTGTTGGTGCGGAGGTGGTTTCCTCAGCAAGGATCCTGGCAAAGGATATACAAACCAGTTACTTTGTTTGTCTTGAAATCATGGCCTTGTTTGGATTGCTTCTGTTTTAAAATAAAAGAGAACTTTGGCTGCTTGAAGGGATCACGCATGTCCCATGATTTGAAACGTTGCCTAGAGAAGTGGTGTTTGCCGGGAAGAGTCTGGCAACCTCATGAAATTCGGGGATGAGACGGATGATTTGTGGAGTGATTAGACAAAGGAAGTTAGATTATCCCTGTCCTCTCTCAGGCCTTCCTGCCTCAAAATGAGGAACAATTACTTCCCTTCCAAAACATCCTAGTAATTGAGCGCACAGAATTAGACAAATGGATAGGCAAGCAAGGAGATATCCAGTAGGAATGGGCAGCTCCAAAATCCCTTTCTTCCCTTAGTAGCACCCTCCCTGTGGTCCTCAGTGACCAACCCTCCTTCTAAAGGCATTGTTATTTTGGCTGATGCCATTCCTTAAGTCCCCGCATCTGTTCTACTCCCACACTCCTCGAGTTGCATTGATTTAGAATCACTTCTGAACAGGAGTCTCATTTTCTGGTGAGCCCCTGTGTAACTCTTGCATATGAGATCACAACCTGAATGATCCCTGGCTTCCTCAGAACTGGCTCTGTATGCTGCAGTACTGTGACGATGTTCTCATGTGTAGGCTGAACTGAATATGTGTATATAGAAAGCCATAGAGATTCCTGAGCTAAATACAAACCGGAGTTGAGAGGTACCACCCCAGTATCTTAGTTTTCTTTCTTTAATATAAAGCTTTAAGATACAAAACCCTTAGGGAAGCTTTTATATTTGAAAAAATGACCAGAGTGCATTGTGAAAACAGGAAGTTATGGCCCCTGTTGCAGAGCCATTCACTGCATTTTTGACTGATACTTAGAAACATTAAGACTGTACTTCCGTTTGTTTGCTTTGTGGCTTGAACCCATGGCCTCCATCATGCTAGGAAAAAGTTCTACCACTGAGCTACATACTTGGCCTTTTGTATTTGATTTTTGAGACAGGGTCTTGCTAAGTTACCCAGGCTGTCTTTCAACTTGTCTTAGCCTCCTAAGTAGCTAGGATTCTGTTTGCCCCAACATGTTTTACTAAAATGCACAATACATATCAATTGGATTCTAGGTAATGTTTTGAGGACCATTCATTGAGAAACTTATATGGAGTGTTAGGTCAGGCCTGTGAATATTGAAGAAAAAAGGATGACCAGGAAGAATCCTTGAGGAGAGCCCAATCTCTGAATACCTCATGCCAACTTATTCAAAGAGCAGAACAAGGACTTCGTATTCAGTGTGAAGCCTCCTGAATTTCATAGCCATCTTTACACGCACACACACAGAAGCCCTCTCCTCCACAAGAAGCACACTCACACACAAAACGTGCTGAAGTAAAATTAAAAATCACTGACTCCCTTATAGGCTGATGGAGCAGGTGTTCGCAAGGCTGTTCTCTCATTTCTGGATCTTACCTAGACTGAGTAGGGTTTCCAGTCCCTAGGGTTGGATAGTGCTCTATACAATACACTTCCACTTCCTGTCCTTTCCAGTTCCTCTGTGTCTCCCTGTCGGCAGAATCCCCATCCCCCTGGAGATGGAGGAATGGGTGGTTTCCCTCTGATGCTGGAAAGAGTGGTCACCATGTGTTTGAGCTGGTTCCCTGACTCCAGCAGGTGAGCTGGCCCAGACACTGCCCTGAGCCACGTGGGGACATACAGGTGCTCAGCAGTACAGGACTGGTGGCAGGCTAACCGCCCTTTCCAGGGTGTAGACTGGGAAGGGCTTGTCATTGTTGGATGCCTTGTGCAGGAGTCGCAGGGGTGGATCGTTGGGGGTGTGTGAGTATCAGCAACAAGTACCTAGGAGGACTTCTCTTCTGCTCTGTGCCTCCAGGTGAAGGAGTCTTACCCAAGCTCATCTTCACTAATTATTCCATGAAACTTTCAGGAGCCAAGCTTGGTGGTGCATGCCTGTAATCTCAGCACTTGGGATTCTGAGGTAGGAGAATCATATCAAGTTGGATGCTATGGACTACATAGCCAGACTGTCTCTAAAGACAAAACAAACAAAACCACATGGAACTTTCAGCCACTGCACCTGTGTCCTTCTGATACACACTGTCCCTGGGTCTGCTCAGCCCTTTTGGGACCTTGTCTGTCCTCTCCTAGGCATAACTTCCTTGTTACTCACTCAAGAGCCAATAGAGACCGAGGGATATTTGAGGGTTGTTTCCAATCCAGCATAGAATGTGCAGTGCCTTGGGAAAGTGTAAAGTGCAGTAGGCTCACCTTCTACCACTCTCCACCTCGTCACTCTAGGCTTTGGATCTGCCCTTTGGAAGGGAGAGCCCCCTGCTACCTTCCACTACTCTTGGTACAGAATGGCTAAGCCCTACCGGGCTCTTTTCAGGTGACTCTTGCTTTAGCTGATTCTGGGGCTAACCAGAGTCAGTAAATAGTGGAGCATAAAGACGCAGCCTTTGCTCTTTCCCTCTAGGGAGCTTTGTGGCCTCATGTCTGTGCCACACCCTCTTAGGAAGGAAGGTGTGACCTGGTGACCAGACTCGTACTGAGGGATGGTGGTGTGCGTGGAAGTTGAGTCAAGGCGCCACCTAGGCCCCAACGTCATTCTGTCACTCTGCCTTATGCAATTCTGGTTGTACCGCTCATGACTCACGCCTGTCTGTTTTCCTTATTCCCTTTGCTTTAGCAGCCTCCCTTCTACCTTGCTATGCGTTCTCTGCTCTACTGCCCAGAATGCCTCCTTGCCCTCCAAGTCCTGACTCTGACATCTTCCTGGTCTTGGACCTCTGATGGCGCAGCCTCTGCTCTGCTATGCCTCATCCTTCTCAGAGCCAAGGACTCTGCCCAGGCCCTTCTCTCCACTGTCCAGTGGTCCCATCATCCAGCCTCACCACCTGATTGGACATCAGTCTCTGTGATGTCCACATCAGACCTACCCATCCCCTGCCTTGCGAGGTCTTACCTGACTTCTTTCAGTACCTGTGGCTCTATCTGTCATTACAGTGGCCCATACCTTTGAATCACTTTGACTCCCTGGCCTCCCTATCCTCCGCACACCCAGTTAGTCACTGAGTCAGCTGGCTTCATGGTCCCTTCCTTTCACTACCATCACCCTACCTCCGGGCTCCTCAGCTCATCAGACTATCCATAATGTGCCTGGTCCTGGGGTGGAAGGGAGGTGGTTTCCTGGGTTCCTAGCCTAGGGGAGCTGTGTGCCCTCAGTCCTTGGCTTCCTCCATAGGCCTGGTCACCAGGGGTGGATGTAGGTGGAATGGTGGGCTGGCTTGGAGTGCACTGGGAGCTTCTCTCTAGGGACCCTCTAAGAAGCCTCCAGTGCCTTGACCCTTTCTACCTTCTGGATGGAAGAGCCTCACACCCCAGCCTCCCTTTCAGGAGGGTCCTCCTGCCTCCAGACTTAGGGCGCTGGAAACATCCACTCCATGGTAACCCTTTGCTTTTTATCCTCTCTCACAATGGAGACCCACCTAAGGATTCCGAAGAGCTGATGACCTGGACTTTATTACTCTTGGGGTTGGGAGGGCACAGGCCAATTATTGTTTGTTTTGCATTTATGCATTCTTATTGACAGGCTGGAGTGGGGCAGGGAGGGTTTTTTCCAGGGGGCTTTCTAGGCTGAGTTCTTTCTCACTTTTCCTGTCTATACTACCCAGGTGAGCTGACTCAACACCCACACTGCCACTGGGGCCTTCCCACTTTTGGCACCAGTACCCATCAGGGCAGAGAGAGAGAGAAGGAGGCAGTCATCAGGGCTTGAAGAGGTGACAAATTTTCAGGTTGGACTTGAATTTCTTGCAACTAGGTTAATTGGTATAATGCATCCACCTATAAAAATTACAGGGTGGCTCACTCAAAGGCCCTGAAATCAGTGGCAAGAAGTGGAAGTTTTCCTTTCCTGCGTGTTCCTGTGGACTGCCAGCTGGACTCTGAGGACCAGCTTCTGCTGCTGTTCCTGAGCCTCATCCTTCTTGGGCCGCACTGCCCAATGGCGGCGATCACGGACTTAGGTTTTATGTACCGCTGGTTTAAGAACTGTAATCTTGTTCGCAACCTTTCGGAGAAGTATGTCTTCATTACGGGCTGTGACTCTGGCTTTGGGTACACGCTGGCCAAACAGCTGGTTGAACGGGGCATGCGGGTGCTGGCTGCTTGCCTTACGGAGGAAGGGGCTCAGAAACTGCAGCAGGATACCTCCTACCGGCTGCAGACGATCCTGCTGGACATCACCAAGACTGAGAGCGTCAAGGCTGCGGCCCAGTGGGTGAGGGACCAAGTGGGCGACCAAGGTAGGGCAAACTGCCTGCTCAGTTTTCTTACTCTCAGCATCTAACAGTCTCAGGGACCCTGCTGTCCAAATAGGTGAGAGAGGTGATGAAAAGAACAGGGGTGGAAGGAGCTGGCTCAGCTAGACTGCAAGCCACTGTGTGGTTTGGCCTTGGCCTGTTCATGGCATTTTTCTAAAGAGTTTCTTGCCCAGAAACTGTGAGTAACAAGGCACAAGTTTCTATAAGAGGTAAGGAAGGGAGGATGTACTCTGTATGTCCAAACCTTGAAGGATGGAGGGGCCTCTCAGAGACTTCAGTGGTCTTACCATCCATCCTGTAGAAGTACTAGGGTGGAGAAGGGCCAAGAGGCTGATTTCCGTGACTAGGGCATTTGCTATCCTTGATTGTGTCACACAGCGGAGGGCCAGGTCTCTTAAAAGTTGGAGTCTACTTGAGAGTGGCTACTCCCATTGAGGAAGGAAGCTGTGGGCTTGGGGCTGGCCAAGAGTGTGTGAGGATTTGCCCAGAGAACTTGCAGCACGTAGGGTATAGGCCCAGGATCAAGAGGGACAGAATAGTGTGGTTATAGAAGCAGCAGTAGCCTGAGGAAGTCCTCATTCCCCAAGAAATGAGGCTGGGCCTCTGCCCAGGTGGGGGTAATGAGCTCTGGGAGCCAGGAAGAGCCAGATACAAGCGTCTTGTTTTACATCTCTCCTTAACATTTATCCCTGCCACTACACAATGCATTTTGCTTATTTATTATCTATTCCCTCTGCTGGAATAAAGCTTCCTGGGAACAGGTTGGTTTCATTTTTGTTTTTGTCTCTTTTATCTATTTTATGTCCTTAGTACCAAGAATAGTGTCTGGTACCAACAATTGTTTATTCAATGAGCTGATTAATGAGTAATTTAGCAGTGCTGAGCTCCTCTCTCCACCAGCATGCTTCACCCACTTTCCTACATTCACCCTCAAGCCAGTGGAGTTCAGGACTCATCCAATATACTGTTGCGCTTTTAACAAATATACTGAAATATAGTAGGTTAACAACACATCTTTATTGCCTTGTAATTCTTGAGGGTAGCAGTCCAAGATGGGCCTCACTAGGCTAATGTGAAGGTCTCCACAGAGTTTTTTCTTTCTAAGGTCCCCAGGGAAGAATCTATTTTCTTGCTTTCTCTAGCTTATGGGGACTGCCAGCATTTTGGGTGCATGGCCCACTTTCTCTGTTCAAGACTAGCAAAGTTGGACTGTGTCTTCTTCTCACTCTTCCCATCTCTTTGGTTCTCTAGTTTCTGCCTTCCTCCTCTTAGAAGAAGCCTTGTAATTATGTTGGGCACATGAATCCTGGATAATCTCCCCATTTTAAGGTCTACTGATGATGAATGTTAATTCCCCTTGAAACTGTAATTTCCTTTTTTTATGTAGCCCAACGTATTTACAGTTTCCAGGAATTAAGATGGTGATATTTTCAGGGGACCATTATTTTACTTTTGCTAGTGGGCACCATCCTTGATCTAAGAAGCACTGGAAACTGCAGGTGGAGAGAAGGTAGATATTATTGCATGCTTTCTTGTCACTGCTGAGGGTCCCTGGACATAAAGGTGGCATGGCCCTAGAGCTGTTAGACCTGCTGTCACTATTCTCTGGTTATTCTTTGCAGGGGATAAAAATAGAAAAATTGCCTTACTTCCCCAACAAGTAGTGCATCCTCTGCTGGAGCCCTTTAGCAGGATTATCAGAGGCAGTGGCTGTGTGTCCCTTCCCCCCACACAGAGACTGCTGAAGTTTTATGATCTTTGGGTCTCAGGAATAGCTGCTGAGCTATATTTCTGGCCCCTTCTTGTTCATTTTGTATCTCCTTTTCATTTTTCTCTTCCGTAAGGCAAGAGAGGCCCCTTAGCTGGGGAGATTCTAAGTCCTACCAGCCAGATGGTCTCTTGGAGTCATCTAACTGGAGGAAGGCAGGAAGACAGAGGGTAGGCCTGGCAGGGATGTCAGGGGCTAGGTGGACCAGAATTGCAGTTTTCATCCAGACCTGCCCTTAGGAGAGAGGTGAGTGCCAGACAGAGTATCTTGAGGTTTGTGCTGGCCAAGATGGGCAATGAGAGGGGAACGGGGAAGGGAAGGAGCTCGGAGGTGGGGTTTATGGGATCGTTAAGTGAAAGAGCTAGAAGACGCCACTGAGGGTCATCCTTCTCCAGTGAAATTCTACTTGGAAGCTCAGTATATAAAACAAATGAAAGCCTCTTCCCTAGCAGGCTTAAGGGACAGGCTGGAAACTGCTGTAGTTCAGTCTGGTGAAGAACTTGAAGCCCAGAGTGGGAAGTGACTTGTCTATGGCTGGAGGTAGAGCCAGGCTTAGAACTTAAGGCTCTTGAGCTCCTGTAGATGTGAATGATCATACTTAGTATTATTGCTCCCCATCTCTATCAATCCTACCCAATAGGAGAAACTTTATCGCATTTTCCCATTAGCATTTTATTTAAATGTCTTATATCTTTACTTATAAATAGCATTTTATCTTGTTTGTGAGCTTCTCAAAGGATAAGACTCTTCTTGTTCTTTTCTTTTTTTTTTTTTTGTACCGGAAATCAAACTCAGGACCTTGTACTTGCCAGGCAGGTGCTTGTGCCGCTGAGCTGTATTCCTGGCCCCTTCTTGTTCATTTTATATCTTCTTTGCCCCTAATTGGCAAAGAGTATGTATGAATGAATGAATGAATGTGTGAATGGACAAATGAATAACTGAATTGACTTTGACAGCAGTTGAAATGGAGTTGGCTTCCTGTACTTAAGCGAATAGAAAAGAGGAGGCACGATCGGCGAGGGAATTAAACATCAATTCATTGTTATGAAAAGCATATCTCTTATCACAGAGCTAATAGCTTAGGTGGCCATAGCTACATGCAACCTGGATTATAGCTGGTACAGAGCCGCAGTGAACTGAGTCAGAAAAGATGCCCCATGAGCAGGGAACACTAGTCAGTGACATGTAGCTGCCTCACCCAAGCCATGCTGTCTTGTGTCATGCATACCAGCACAGCTATCCTCAGTGACCTGGGCTGGTGGGCAACTGTCCGTGGTGTTTTCCCAGAGATACTGCTGATTCCTGTGTGTTTCTCTCCCTCCATCTCATCCCCAGGCCTCTGGGCCCTGGTGAACAATGCTGGTGTGGGCCTGCCCAGTGGCCCCAATGAATGGCTGACGAAGGAGGACTTTGTAAAGGTGATCAATGTGAACCTGGTGGGAACGATCGACGTGACCCTCCACATGCTGCCTATGGTCAAGAAAGCCCGGGGCAGGGTAGTCAACATGTCCAGCTCTGGTGGTCGTGTGGCTGTCATTGGTGGTGGCTACTGTGTCTCCAAGTTTGGCGTTGAGGCCTTCTCTGACAGCATCAGGTGACTGGACCCGGGGACCAAACCATTCTAGGTGTGTGTTGGGGGGACTCCAGGGAGTTTTAACTTAGAAATAAAGGGCTGGGTTCCTACCATGTATGCAGGGGCATTCTGGAGCAACACAGCAGAGAGCTGGATCATAGTGAGCCTTCCCCAACTGCCAAGAGAAGAAGGGGTGTGGGGAAGAGTTGGGATAGAGACAGCGGACAGCAGGTGGGGCTGCCCTGAGAAGTCCGAGTGAAGGTAACACTGAGCAGGTCTGTAGGAATAAGAAAGAGGTCCCTAAACAGACACAGAGGCCTGGGGGCAAAGGTGCCCCTGGGAGACCCTCAGAGAAGGATACTGGTCGGCCCTGTATAGATCCCATCACTCCTGTTGTGTGGGTGCAGGGCACGGGGCTGAGTGTAGGAGGCACCTGGTAGGAGGAAGATCTTGGCCTAGATTCTCCACTGACTTCCTGCTGCATCTGCCTGAATGTAAATTATCCAGAGATTACCGGATGAGCTTGGGAAAGGGCTGAGGTCCTTGGAGAGAATTTATTTGCATAAAGGCAATGCCTAGGCCAGCTGCCAGGGGTGGGGTTTGTGTTCCTGGAGAGACAGCTCCCTCCAGAAGTGACTCTCCTTGACACTGTCATCTTGAGGCCTAGACTAGAGTGAAACTCTTATTTTCCCAGGCGTGAGATGCACTACTTTGGGGTGAAGGTCAGCATCATTGAGCCGGGGAACTACAAGACATCCATTCTGGGAAAGGAGGGCCTTGATAAAAAACTGGAAATGCTATGGGAGCGGCTGCCGCAGGAGACCCGAGAGAGCTATGGAGAGGAATACTTCCGCATCTGTAAGTTCCAGGGCGCAAGCCAGGTCTTGGGTGAGGGCAGGTAGGTCTTGGGGTCTCTGACTGGCTTTTGGTTTATAAATGATCGGACTCAGGGTCTAAGGCCACGCAGCTAGTGGCAGGCCTGGGGTTTAAGAATAGAGGCAGAACACAGTCTGCAAGAGACTGCTCTTCCTGGTACCTGCTCCCAACATCAACACGCAGGTGAGCCCGATGAAAATGCACTGAGACGAGCACAGAGATGTGAGTAAAAGCAGGGCAGCTAGAGCTGACTGCCAGGGTTCAAGTCCTGACTCTTACATTTACCAGCGAAGAGACTTTGGACCTTTTCAGTAGTCTCCGCATGCCTCAGCTTTCTCCTCTATAAAATGGGGAGTTAATAACAGTGCCTACTTAACAGGGTTGCTATGAGAATTAATATGTGTGAATTATCTTGTGCTGAGTGCCTGTTAAATAAAAAGGAAAATAAGTACCTGGCTCTTTACAAGGATGGGTCCCATTGTACTCTTTTCGTCTCTCTGAGTTAAGTGTCCCCTGTGAATCTTAGGTGCTTTGGAGGGTGAAGAAGGGACATGTTAGATACTGGCTATCTTGCCAAAACTTCCCGCTTTGGGGATGGATGGAGCCTTCCCACAGGGGAATATGAGAGGGCCCAGCCTGGAGAGGCAGTAAGAGAGGCATTGTGTCAGTTGTTGGAGAATTTCCTGGTAGGAGATGGAAACACTATGAGACCACGGAGCCCTATGTTCATTTGGAGAATCTAACCTTGAAGCAAAGTTGATTTCAAGAGAACAGGAGACGCAAGAATTGAAGGTCTCTGCATTTCATAGATCTCAGGGCCAGAGAGAAGGACGTGCCTAGCTTAGCACAACTTGTGGCCACCCTTTTGGGTAACTTGTGTCAGCAGACACTGGCCCTGACATAACTGGCCCTCCTGGCCAAGGGCTAGTCTTCTCCAGCAGCCTCTCTGAGGAAAGAGGGGCTGCAGTGTGCAGATTCGGATGTTTCCGTGGTGCAGAGTGAAGCAGCTGCCATTGGTTCTGCTTCTGCTCCCTCTGGGCCTCACTCAGCTGCTGCCACATTTCCCCAACACAGATTTTTCTTTTTCTGTTTTATCTGGCTGCTGTGAGCATTCCAGAGAGGCAATTTTCTGTGGTGGTTAAGCTCTTAGAGTTAGAACTAGTCTGCGGGTGCAGATTTCAGCTTGCAGGCTGGCCAAGTTCTTCACCCCTTCAGTTTTCTCATCTGCAATGAGTTAAATGAATATAAAGTCCCTAGATACCACCTGGTCCCTGGTAAGAGCAGTTTAAGTTTTTGGTTGCTATTATCATTGCTTACATTGAGTATGGCCTCCTAGTCTCCATTATGGTGATATAATACCTGCAAGTTACCAGTTCTTCTATTAAAAATCCAAAGTGATGAATTTTAAAAATATACCCAGAATTATCAGGTTAATAATATCCCTTAGTTATTATAGGCTGATCAGGTCCACAATCTCCAGAATGAGTGTACGGTGAAGGCTGAATAAAAAGAGGTGAATGGAATGATTTTAAGGCTCCAGGAGGATCAAAGCCCTCTCACAGAATTCGAGATCCTCTCAGGGCTAAGACCAAGACCTTCTCTGGGTGGCCCATATTTATTTGGTTATTAGAAGAACAAAGGGGAGTACTCAAGAAGGGCAGAATTACTCAAGGACTTCTCCAAGTGAGGTATTAAATTAGTCCTTAATAAGGATTAAGTGAATCCACCCAGGAGTGAGATGCTTGAGACTATAGTCTTTATCTAGTTGAGATCAGATCTAAGTGTCCTTGGTTGTGATCTTGTCTTATCTTTTGAGGCTTTCCAGCTTTATCTGCCATTACAGGCTTTGGTAGGGATTAATGATTCACAGAGGTTCACTTACTATGAGTCCATCGCCCATTTCCAGAGAAGGAGCCTAGGCCTTGGACAGATTCACAAGTGAACATGAAAAGCCAATTGATTAATTTAACTCCTGTTCAGGACTGCTTCATAGTGGTCTCCGTCATGGAATCTCTAAATGGATGTGTTAGCCAACTTTCTGTTACTATACCAAATGCCAAAGACAACCAATTTAGAAAGAGAAAAGGTATTCTTGGCTTACAGTGTTAGAGGTTTCAATCTACAGTCAATTGCTTTGGGTCGTGGTGGCACATCACAGCACGACTGTGTGGCAGAGCAGAACTACTTACCTCATAGTTGGGAAGCAAAAGAGGGAAAGAGGAAGGGAGCTGGGTCCTACAGTTCCCTTCAAGGGAACACCTCCACCTGGGCTAACGCTCTCTCATCAGGCTCCACCTCCTAAACTTCCACCACCTTCCAATAACACCAGGCTGTGAAATAAACCTTTGACACAGGGATCTTAGGGAACATTCCAGATTCCAGCTCTATCAGTGGACTAAATGCAATCACCTGGTCAAATCTGTGGTAGGTCTGAAACTATTTGAGACATGCTGTCTCAGCAATATACATTGACAGAATTAAAAGCCAACACACAAGAATCAAGAAAGCTATTTTTGCACTTAATATACCTTTTACCAAACAGGCTTTGTGTGAGGTAGGGGAGATGGTGTGGACAGAGGGGTGCTTGCTCCTAGCTGCTTGTACTTTAATATTTCACAGAGAAGACAGATGTTAAGAAAAACACACATAATGGTAAATGTGGTTGAGTGCCACAAAGAAGGGAAACAAAGTTAAGAAAGAAACAAAGTTAAGAAAGTTAAGCAATGGGAACTTGGGTACCATTTCAGGTTATGGCATAGGGGGGTTTTCTCTTGGTTTACTTTGAGGAGGAAGAAGAGTTAGACACTGTTGGAAAGTGGAAAGGGAGGTTGGGCAGGGAGATTTTTGCAGCAGGGCTCTGAGCCAGGACAGTCTTTTGGGGGAACTTTAAAGAAGCCAGCAGGTGGGAAGCAGAAGGGGTGACTGGGGAGTGGGGCACAATATAAATAAGCATCTGAGCACTCTGAGGATCAAGGATGGGACCTGATCTGTGACTGGGAAATACCATTCTGGTTGCTCAGGCTTCCAAGGTAGATGTGATGGTGTTTTAGACTAGGCAGAAGGTGGAGGAGTTGGAAAGAAGCTGGATGCCAATGTGTTAAACAAGCTGCCACTGTAGGCAAGGGAGAGGAAAGTGTTATGGATGGGTGCTAGGTTTATGATGAGGAACCTGTTGGATGGAGGTGTATTCACTCAATGATTTCGGGAAGACTCAGGGAAAAGATATTCAAAGAATTGTTCCCTAAAAAAAGTAATCCTTTAGTTCTGGACATATTGGAATTCTGTGTGAGAAAAAAAATGTCCCACAGGTTTAAATCAGTTAGCCTCTTTTTAGTTAAAAGTAGCAGAAAATCTGACACAGATTATTTAAACAGAAAATAAATTTGACTCATGCGACTAAAATGTTGAGCAAAATGAACTCTAGGCACAGCCTGATGCAGCCCCCAAAATATACTGGTAGGAGCTACTTCCACCCTGCGTCTTGACCGTGCTTGTGTCGTATTGACTCTAGTTTCACAAGCTGTTCCCTGTGGGGGTCTCTTCTCTCTCAGAGTGAGGGCTACTGAGAAAAGGGGAGAGTTCTTACCAGTAGTTCTCTTGAGAGTCCTAGCATTCATTCTGACCTGGAGAGCTCATGGTGGCTGGATCAGAGGTAACTGCAGGGTGTGTCCAGCCCTCAGCCAATCTCTGTGCCCATGGGTGTGAAGGGCTGATTGGCTTTGACTGGGGCATACGTTCTGCTCAGACCGAAGATTCTAAATGGTGGAGGCATGCATTCCCAAAGGGAAATCTGCAGCTGTTGGGAAAAAGATGGCGGTGAAGGGAGGGGGATTTCTAATCCTCTGTATGAGCCCCCTAGAGCAGGGCTGGCAGACCCTGTATAGCTTTCAGTGTTACAAATAGCCCATTGTGGCACATGTGCCAGTGGTCCGCCACCACTGCCCTAAAACTTCCTTAGCTAAGAGTGGTCCAAATTTGTATAAGGCTAGAATAAAATACAGATTCAACCAGTGTCTGAAAACGTCACAAAGCCATTGCCTAAGTAAATACTCAGTGCAGACAGAGGTTGTAGGATCTGAACAAATCTGCACAAAGGCCAACTTCCTCTGGAAATCACTTTTCAAAAACCAGGTATTGTTATGCTGAAGAATAGTAAGGATTCTGTTCATAAAATACTATGGGCTGATTCCTCTATAGTGCACACCACAACGTCAGAAGAACGTTTTCAGACGGTGGTAACTACTTTTAGATAAATGTTTCTCCAAGGAGTCACACTCTACTTTCCACCAGTTACCTAGTAGGAGGCAGGGGTGAGACAAAGGGTAGATCCGAAAGCAAATACGGTACCATGCAGTTGTGCAATAAGGGGCAAGTGTCCAAAACAAAGCACCAGTAAACGGTACAGAGAATTAATTTTGCAGTCACAAAGTCCCAGCAGGCTTTACTCTGGGAAGAAGTGAGGAGAGGTACTCTGGGACAGATGAGGCCCCCACGGGGGAGAGTTTGTAGGATTAGAGTCAGTACTACACGAAGAGGTGAAGATAAATGCCTTAGTGAGTTTTGAAGGATGAACTGGAGTTCACCAAAAGGGAATGACGTAGGTGTTTCCCACAGGAGGAGGAGCATGGCTACATTTGGAGACCAACATAGGATTGAGTGCTTTTGCATGTAGGATGGATTCTGGGTCCCTATAATCATGGAACATAATTCTCTAAACTACGGTTTATTCATTTAAAAAGCAGAATAATTACTCTTTCACAGGCTGTTAGGAGAACTAATAGTACTCCAGCTAGTTGCATAATGAGCACAACATACCTCGGGCATGTGAAGGGGACTGAAGGCAGAAAGAAAGCGACGGGACATAAAAGTCTGTGGCAGCTACACTGAGGAATGGATCTTACCCTTGGGTTACTGGGGGCCTTTTAAATAGCTCTGAAGTGCCTGGTCATGATTTGTGTGCTGGGGAGGAAAGCGAGGCCAACTGGGAGGCTATTCAGAAGCTCAAGGAGATTGAAGACGGGAGCCTAAACATCATGGTGGCTGTGGGAAGTGGACAGACTGAAGCAATACTTTGGCCCGGTTGTACCGAACCACGAGACATAAAAGCTAGACGGTTGCTGTGGCACCAACCAACCATGCTTCTGGCTTTTCAACCCCAGGACCAAGGCCCAGCTTTCTTAGAGTCGTTTTTAACTATGTTCAGAAAAGAACCGTATGGGAAATTGCTCCTTACTAACAACAGACGTAGGCGTCTTTCCAGAAAAGTGGAGCTCAGAATCAGGGAAGAGGCCAGCACACAGGGAAGGACATCCTGGTCCTGAGAGACCTGAAGCCGTGCCACCAGCTGAGTGTGGTCCGCATTGCTGAGCCAGGAGTGGGGCTCCTAGTTCAGTATCTTTTTTTTCATCAGAAATGTCCCTGTCAGACCCTCTACCCCTACTTCTTCTTGGCGATGGTCTGTGTGAAGCCGAAGACCTTGTCCCTGGCAAAGGAATAGGGGATTAAAACTTAGCTGCTGGAGCCATTCAGAGGGCCAAAGTCTGAGCCTTAACACTTGACACATCTAGCTTGATTATCTCCAGAAACATAGTCCTAAGTGGTCAAACCCAAAGTCCATGTTCCTTCTTCCTGCTGAGGAGAGTGGCGGGGACTAGATGGAAACTTCTGTCTTCTTTCCTACTCCATGCCTGGCTGGTGCTTACACAAATAGAAGCTGATAAATATTTGAGAAAATAATGAATGAATGTGCCTCATATCACCATGCTTGGGTACCTTCTGCCCCATACCCTGTGTGGGTCCTCCTCACCTTTCAGGGGCCAGTGTTCCAAACATCGCCGCAGGTCTGCTTCCTTTGGCTCTTCAGTCATGCAGGTCTGTCCACTCTTGAGAGCCCTGAGAACCTGAGAATCCTTCGCACTTGCCTCCCGGCCCCAGCCTTACTAGTGGGGCACTCCCTGACAAGCCTAAGGTCAGAGGCTTCCTATGTGTTCTGTGGACAGTCTGCCTTTAAGTGAGTGTGGCTTTGGGGGGACACCAAACTTCAGGTTGGCCTTTCACTACAGCAGGGCTCTCTTCAGGAAACAGCAAGGGAGTTAAGTTAGCTCTTCTGAGTCTGGGATAAAGGGCACTTGGTGACACTGGCCTGTCTTCACCAATCGCTCAGAAGTCCTGACCCTGCCTACCTGGGTCATCCCAAAGTTGGGGCAGCTTTTGTTTTCCAGTTTTGATCCCATAGAAGGGAAGTCTGACTGTCAGGCTCCAGTTTCTTTCTTTCTTTCTTTCTTTCTTTCTTTCTTTCTTTCTTTCTTTCTTTCTTTCTTTCTTTCTTTTTCAGGCTCTCATTTCTTTGGAGCCCTTGAGGTTCTCCTTGAAGTCTGAGCCCCCTGCTCCTTAATCTGCCTCTGTCCCAGTATCCCAGGGAAGAACCTGGTTGTGCATCATGTGGCCTTTCCCTTCCTCAAACCTGTGGGTATCTCATAGACAGATGAACTTCCTGTGTTAGAACCCTTCAAGAGGCCTGTCTGTACCTTGGTCATCTGCATCCACAATGGCCTTATGACCAAAGTGGGGGCAGGATTTTTTTGAAAATAAATTTTGTTTTTCCTGCAAGATTTTGTAGAAAAATGCAAGAAATAATAATAATAATAATAATAATAATGAAGAAGAAGACAAAGACAAAGAACAACAACAACAACAATAACAATAACAACAACAAGAAGAAACCAAATAAAATAAAAAGCCTCCAGTATCTAGGAATCCCACCAGCCAGACAATATTTTTACTTCCCATTTTTCTATGAATATAGACACATTTTCCGCCCTCATCATCAACTCTGCCTTTTTTTTTTTTTTTTTAAGAGAGGATTTCACTGTGTAGTTCAGGCTAGGCTTGAAGTCACTTTGTAGCTCAGGCTGGCCTTGAACTCAGAGGAATTCTCTTGCCTCGGCCTCCCAAGTACTGAGACTCTCTGTGTGTACTACCATACCCGGCCTTCTATTCTGCTTTTAATAATCTTTGTTGGTCTCCAGGGTAGGTACTATTATCTCTCTTTTACACACAGTGAAGGTTTGAAGCCGAGGTCATATAACAAGTAAGTGGCACCGTCAGGAGGACTGGGCGTAGCTCTTCTTATTGTTAGTCAAACGCATTGGTGGGAATTCAGTGCACAGCTGTAGAATTCAGGAGGAGAAATACGATGATTTATGATGATCCTATAAGCAGGGGTTTATGTGAAGGACACCTGCATGGTGTTCTGAAATGTTAACTGGGATGGGATTTGGAAGAAACCATCCTTAATAAAGAGTAACGGAGCATTTCATTCCCCCCTCTTCGATAGATACTTCCAAACTGAACAACATGATGCAGCTCGCAAGTCCAAACATCACTGATGTCATCAACAGTATGGAGCATGCCATTGTCTCCCGGACTCCCCGCATCCGCTACAACCCTGGCCTGGATGCCAAACTCCTCTACCTCCCCTTGGCAAAGTTGCCCACCCCTGTGACAGATTTCATTCTGAGCCGCCACCTTCCAAAGCCAGCAGACAGTGTCTGAGCTGGGGAAGTCCCAGGGGTGGATGGTGGAATGCACAGCATGGGGAGGGAGAAAGCCCTGTGGTCGAGTCAGACATGCTGGGGATGGTGGCTACCAAGGACACTGGGTTCAGCTGATACCGCTGGTGAGAATGCCTCCTCTCCCCTGCTGGGGACCCCACAGACCTGAGGTGGCCTTTGCAGACTTGAAGACCTACAACACTGCCCCAAGGACAGGCAGGAGACAAATTTTTCTGGGCCTGGAAAAGTCAAGGAGGGGAAAATCTGAGTCTCAAGCTGTTACCTCCTCTGGGGAATACTCTGGGACAAGAATCTCAGTCTCCTCTCTGTGGGTCTCCAGATACTCACCAGCCTCATCCATACCACCCATTACTGAAGGATGCAGTACAGCAGCCAGGAGCTCAAGAGCATATTCAACAATAGTTTAAAATAGTTTTTCTCTCTACATTTCTCTATCCATAGGTGATTTGAATGCACATGAAATGACATTTATTTATTTAATCAGTATTGCCTAATTCACCAAATATTTATTGAGTGTCTGCTACCTACCAAGCACTATGAATCAGGTGGAGATATGAAGATTATGAAACCATTGCCTTGATCTTTTTATGATTTATTTTGTGTTTTTATCATAGCACAACATCTATCAGCACAGATAAAGCAGTGACAGAAAGAAGAGAAACTAGAAAACAAAGTGAGAGGCACGCTGGGGGGTCATTGTGCAGTAGTATTCAAACATATCATATCCTTCACTTAAATAAAAATGTATACTTTTGGGCTCCAGTGTTAGAAAATATGATTCATTAGACCTTGGGTAGGGCTCAGAAATATGTATTGCAATAAGGATCTAGATGATTCTGGTGTATATACATACTTGGAAGCCACCGGTAGGTCTATAGGAGAAGTAGCTACCACTACAGCACCCATCACTTGCCTCCAGCTTAGTGCCCAAGGCAAAGAACTCATGTATTCAGATTCTCAGATCAGGTTTTTGGTTTTTTGGGTTTTCTTAGTTATAAGAGAATCAAATTTTGAAATTGGTAACATTGTCAAATAAAGTCACGGAGCTAAACTTTTTAAAAAGAAATCACCTTAAACTTCTGTTGAAAAGACTTTTGATCTTGATGAATAATCATGTAATAAAGGTAAACATGATATTTTAAAAATTAAAGTGTCTTCAACTTGTGTCTTCAACATCTGGCTGAACTTGAAAATAGTAAAAAAAGACTTAATTATATCTAAAAAGAGTCATTTTCCCAATGAAATCATGCTCTAGGTTCCAAGGATTGACATGTGGGCATGCATCGTGGGGCCACCATGCAACACACTTCCGCCTGTCACTCACAGCCCTTCTATCCCTGGCACCAAGTTCTGAATTGGGTAGAATGCATTAAATAAGTAACAAAAAGACTAATTCACATTGGCTTAAACAACAAAGAGTAAGGGCAGGACCAGAGACTGAATGAAGGCAGGAAGGATATAGGTTCTTTCTACTTCTTTGCTCTGCCACTTCACAGCTTTAGCTCCATCCTTTGTTACTGCAGTATGAATGTCAGAGGCAATGGGAATGCCAGACTTCCTCACTGTCAACTCACAGGAGAAAAAAGAGCTGCCTTTCCACGACAGCCAGGCAGAGAAAGTGCTTCTCTAGAACCCTCATGGAGGCTCTCTTTGAACCCCACTGACCCCAAATGGCTTAGGCTTGTCTATCCATGAAACAACTCCAACTTCTGGGGGAAGTTGCCATGACTTGCCTAGATTAGTGACAGGATAGGATTGGAGTTTGGTGAGTCAGTCACAGTGCTTACTGCCCAGAAAAATTAAAAATTCACACCTGTATGCTATTGAGAGAGTTGAACAAAGGTCAAAAATAAATTATCTTTGTTGAAGACATAAAAACTTTTAGCAGGGGAAAACTATAGTTAGGTAATATTCCCAGATACTTATCTGAGTTACTTTTCTTCTTGCTGAGACAAAATACCCGACACCTAAAGTTAAAGGAGGAAAGGTTTATTTGGCTTACAGTTGGTAAAGTTTCAGTGCATAATTGGCTGGCTTCAAGGCAGAGTGGTGTGGCAGACAGGCATTGAAGAGGAGAAACAGTTCAAGGCAGGCAGAAGGTAGCAAAACAAGAAAGAGATGACCAAAGCTCTTTGTATCCCTTCTATCTTATTCAGACTACTTAGGGTGGGTAGCACTCACACCCTTAATCTTAGTGCCCTTGATCCTAGCATTGCACCATGAACTGATTGCAGCATCACACACTTTAGATCAAGCCACCTCTGGAAAATCTCCACCTATGAAGGCATGGGGCTCTGAGGGGAAATCTAAACGCACACCATAACATTTCCCCTCTGGTCCCCCAAAGACTCGTGCATATTCCTCTATGCTAAAGGCCTTTAGTCCATCTCCGAGAGTTTCTAAAGTCCTAAGAGTTTCAGCATTGCTAAAAAGTCCAAGTGCAAAGTCTCCTCTGACATTTAAGGCAAACTCTTAGTCCCAACCCTCTGTACAAATGAAGAAAGTTAAACACTTCCAACATTCAATGGCACAAGATAGTCATTTCCATTCCAAAAGTTACAAACAGTGGGATAGCAAAGAATGGGAACAAAGCAAGAGCAAAATTCAACAGAGCAAACATTAAACCCTATAGTTCCACTTCCAGCACCCCTGGCAATCTATGGCAAGTTGTGAACTCCAAAGGCTTCGGTGGCTCCATTCCTATGGTACTTTCAGTGGTCTTAGCTGCCATAGCTTCTCTCTTGAGCTAGCTCTGCTCCTTCCTTGCAGTTTTCCTCAGACTATCCATATTCCTGGCTTCCTCCAACTTCTGGGGTCTTCACTACACCTTTGGTTTTGCATTCACAGCTTCACATACTGCCCCCTCAGGGGCATACAGCCTGGCCTCGCAGGCCTTCTTCTGAAATCTGGGTGGAAGCTTGCCTGACCCCATAGCTGCTGCATTCTACGTGCACCTAAAACTAGCACCACGTGGATGATGCCAAGGTCTACCTCCAGCTGGAGCAACAGGCAGGCTTACTTTTCTCTTGCCTATGAACCAAATCCTGAGGAACAACTTCCCTAGGCCACCACCATTCTGCATCATGGTGCTTTGGAGCTCTCTTCTTAAAGCAAGACTCTGAGGTTGCAAAGGCTGGCATCCTGCTGGTTCTTGTGCTGTCTTAGGTCATCTTTTTTGTTGTCTTCTTTAAAAATACTTGACTTTTTCTTGCTAGTCTTTTCAGCAACCAATTTTGCCTCTGTTCCATCTTTGTAGGCTGAAAATTTACTGGATCTTTCTCACCAAACTGAAAATGTTTAAATCATTCTACTGGACTCTTTGCTCTTGATTCTCAACATAAATCTGGCTAAAAGTCCCCAGCACTAGCCATGCCACTGCCTCAACATTAGACTGCTTTGACATTTCTTCTGCAAGATTAATTAGCCTGCCACCCTTAGTCTCAGGCAAAGTCTCTACACATGAGCAAAATGCAGACAAACTTTCTGTTAAGGCATAACATACATTATCTGGAGCCTATCAACCAAACCAGTCCTTCTTCTCAGCAGAAACCTCCTGAGCCTGGTCTTTACTGGCAGAATTTCTATCAGCATTCTTATCTTCTGAGCTCTGACCAGACTTTCCCATCAAGTACACCCTAAAGCTTTCCAGGGCTGCTTTTTTGCTAGTATCATCAGACCTTTCCAAATTCTTCCAATAAACCAGTCCCAAAGGTACCTGAACTACATGGTCAGGTATAGTCACAACAATGACTGCACTTCTCTGGTACCAAATTAGTTACTTTTAGAAAGAAAGAAGAGAAAAATATGTATACACACTATAGCTAAGATAGTTGTTGATAGCTGACTGATTTCTAATACTTTATTGAAAGAAACAGTTAATGTTTAATTGTTTGATCAATCTTGCATGACTATATTTGTTTATCTGAGTAACTAATTTGAAGGTTTCAATATGTAATATAATGACCATTGTTAATTTTCCATCACTTTGTCTGAAATTCTATATTTCTTGTATTGTTTTTGTGTTATTTAGTAAATATCTTGTGTCTGTTAGTATGTTTTTATTTTTTATCTTTAAAATAAAAAATTTAGTTACTTTTAGTTACTAATTAGTTTCTTTTCTCATTGCTGAGACAAAATACCTGAAGCCCAAAGTTAAGGGAGGAAAAGTTTATTTGGCTTATAATTTGTAGAGGTTTCAGTCCATAATTGGATGGCTCCAAAGCAGTGTGGCATGGAAGATGGGCATCACAGAGGAAAAACAGCTCATGGTAGGTAAAAGGTAGCAAAGCAACAGGCAAGGGATGACCACAGTTTTTTCTATCCCTTATATCTTATCCAGGCTACTTAAGGCGGGTAGCACTCACACCCTTAATCCTAGAGCCCTTGATCCAGCATTGCACCATGAATCAGTTCTAGCACCACACACTCTAGATCCAGCCACCCTTGAAAAAGGCCCACCTATGACTGCATGAGTTTTTGGGGGGACATCTAAACACTAGTCATAACAATATTGATTTACACCTTTCCACTGTTCCTTGTTTTTAAATTTCCCCTTACCCTACTCAAGTAGGTAGACCATTTGATACTTTACCTATGGTGAGACATTTGACAGAACATATGAGCTTCATGCCCTCTTGTCAGCTTTAGTTTTTCCCAATCCTACTATCTTTAAAGAAATTACAGAATTTGGGGAATGAGGCAAAGGAAATGTTATTTGCAGGTATGCACAATATTTCACATAAGCAGGGCCATTTACCTAAGACAGGGAGATTCACTCTGGCTCATGAGAGAAAAGGTGAGTTTTGGAATTTCCAGAGCAAAGGGGGACCAGGGTTCACTTTTTGGAACCAGTCCAGGAAAATGGCAAGATTTAGAGCAGTAACAACCCCATTTTGTGTTTAGGTAAATGAAAGTGAATGAACTCAGAAGATTTCTGTGTCCCAGCAGTCTTGGTAAGCAGATATAGAGATCATGTGGACAAGAATACTAGAAATTTAAATGGTAACCTATGAAGGTGGACTTTTTTTTGGTCTGAGAGTCGGCCTTTACCTCATTACCTATAGTTGAAATATTTTTTAAATTCATGGACTGAGACTCATATCTGTTCCAGTGTTATAGTTTAGTTCATTCCATATTAAGGCCATTGCCTTTTTTGGCTTTTTTTTTGTTTGTTTGTTTTGTTTTGTTTTGTTTTGTTTGTCTTTTTGAGACAGGGTCTCACTATGCAGTTCAGGCTGGCCTTGAGCTCACTTTGTAGCCCAGGCTGGTCTCGAACTTGCAATGATCCTCCTGCCTCAGCCTCCTGGGTACTGAGATTATGAGCATGCGCCACCACACCCAGCACCATTGCCTTTTTTGTATCGCTCTTATATTTTCCTAGAGTTTTAAATAGTCTTTCCTTTTCTTGTGCACTTATTCAACTTTATAACCAGCATAGCTCCACATTTTTAAAATTAGGGGAATAGTAATATGGTTTACATTTAAAAAGGAGGATTGTGAGGGCTCTGTAGGGACCAAATTAGTGGGGGGATTAATGAAACAAGAAGACTCCCAAGTAGGAGATTATGTAACCAAGTAGGAAATTATAGACCATTTCTCGTTATGTTATGATTTATGGATGTCCCCACAAGGCCTTATGTGCTCATAGGCAGGACTTTTGAAGGCTGATTGAATAACAGGAGTGCTAGAGCTAAATGTGATATTAGAAGGGGGGCCTGGTTGGAGAAGGCAGGCCACTGGGGACATGACCTTGTGGGGTGCATCACCATCCTGACTCCCCTTCTCTTTCCACTTCCTGGCCACCATTAAGTGAGCAGCTTTGCTTTGCCCAAGCCCTTTCTGAACATGGACTGAAACCTCTGAACCATGAGCTAAAAGAAACCTCTCTTCCTTTAAATTGTGGTCATTGAGTATTTTGTCTCAGTGACAAGGAGACTAGGACACCTGGCAAGAGACACCGGTGCTCTGGGGTAAGGGGCAATTGCGGGAATGATAAAAATGGATGAAATTGGTATACAATTTGGAGGTATCAATCTGTCAAGAAAAATTTAATGTGTTCCTTTTATGCACCAGGCATAGTTCTGGAGTTATATTAGGGGGTAAGACAGAGTTATTTTTCCCCCTTCAGGAGTTAATATTTTAGTGGAGGGA